TCTGTCAGTTTGTCATACTGTGGTAGTTTATGAGTTGCTGTGATTCTGGAAGCTATGCCACCGGTATTTTAAATACCAGCAGGGTCACCCATGGTGGACAGGTTTCAGATGAGCTTTCAGAAGAAAACAGACTAGGAAGAAGGAGTGACAAACTACTTCTGAATACTTAGTCACTGAAAACCTTATGAATAGCAGAGAAGCATTAGTATATCTGGTCATAACTGATCATCTTCTATGTTTTGGAGGTGTTTATGGGCCTCCTTACTTTACTTCCAGGTCCACACTACAAGGCCCAGTCTCTCTCCTTGGCTATATATAGCCTGGGTGTCAGATCATTACCCACCTGCAGCCTGGTCTTAGGCAGGACCTACAATACTGATACTGTTGTAGAGTGTGTATTAATGCTTTATTTTACTTGAATATTTATGACTGTCAGTCCAAAGATTTCACTGGATCTTCACTGGAAAAATTAGGTGTAATTGTGGAGTGGGTATGGTTATCAGCTTTTATCTCCTAGTGTTGCCCTTGCCTCTCACATAGAGAGAACTAGTGCCTGGGAGTTCCATTGATGCTTAACATGCCCCAACTCCAACTTCCACCTGGAAAGATATTCTACAATTTGAGAAAGCATCTGACACAATTGCCAATATTGCCACCCATCTCTGGCAGTCTTCTCAAAACAATAATGGAAAAAACGTCCTTTTCTCTAAAGGGTAAAGGAGAAAAAAAGGAGAATTATTATTCTCAACACCAGATTAACTCAGTTGACAACACCAGATTTACTCACTTGATCCAGGGAAAAATTCACCCTTATCTTTGTGAAATATTATGAATTGATTTGTTGTTGTTGTTGGTAGGTGCCTTTGAGCCTGTCTGACTCATAGTGACCATATATGGTGTTTCTGAGGAACAGCTGGTGAGTTTGAACTGCTGACCTTGTGGTTCAAACCAACCTTGAGGTCGCGTGCTTATCCTACAATGCCACACCAAGATTGAATTGAATTGTATTCCCCAAATATGTATTGAAGTCTTAGCCTATGCACCTGTGAATGTGATCCTGTTGAAAATACAGGTAATTTCCAATTTACATGGGGTTCTGTTCTGACAACTCCATCCTAAATTGGTCTTGAGATAAGCAGAATACCTCATTTTTGTGTGTTTGTTTAATTATTGTTGCCTTTTATCATTAGTATCTTTATAAATTTGATCTTTATTTGTCTTTGGGGGTTGGCATGAGAATGATGACATCAGAAAACGACACCACTGCAACGTTGTACATAAGATTACAAAAAGGTAAAAAACAAAACAAAAACAGACCGTGTAAGTGTGGTTCTCATATCTCATTGTAAGTCAGGGGCCAACACTACCTGTAGTGGTCTTGTTTAGTTATGTTAGTGGCCAGACCACAGTGTTAGGGTCTGACTTCTGCAGGTCTAGCAAGACCCACTTGAGGTTGGCACAAACAGCACACACAGACAAAAAGAAGTAAATAGCAAGCCATGTTTCTTAAGCTATGAATAGTACTCTTTTCAGAAGAGGAGAAACAGGTATCTCTCTTGCATATGAGAGAGAACATTGGCCTGCGGTTCTTTCTCCCCCTTTTTAGGGGACTCATTTCCCTCAGGTTGAATTCTGATTGGTGGCAGGCTCTAGGTAGCACATATTTTGTGCCCCTTTTGGTGGTCTAACACTGCTCTATTTCTCAGAAGCTATTCTGGGCTGTTTCCTGGAATTGTTGATTCAAGTGCCAGGTGTTGGGGTGTGGTTAGGCTGGCCTGTTAGCTTCCTACTCTGTCCCTAACATGTAGTAGAGTGGGTTCTAAACCTAATCACTTCTGAGAGGTAGAAAGAGACTAGACAGACACACATGGGGAGAAGACAGAGTTCCAGAGACATCAGAAATGAGCAAAGACGCTCACAGACGGTATCAACATGCTTAAGACCCCAGGACTGTGAGAAAAGAAATGTTCTTTAAGGCAGGACTTCAAACTGGTTCATTCTGATTGGACCCCTGTGGAGAATTTGCATTTCCACCCTAGATAGACTGGATCAAATTCTTAGCAGGCAGTTGAACCAGATTGAATTGCTTGGAAGTCCTACTTTAAAGCTTGCACTTCTGGTATTTCTGTTTTGGCAGACGGAGGTAGCTAAGACAGGTGATTGGGAAAATTGAATTGGATACAACGCAGCTGTCATGGGGAGAGTGATCTGGAATTAGACATTTCACATCACCTTGCTTTATGGGATCTAGAACTGTCCATCTCCCCAACCTCAGCCAGTGGTAGATCACATCCAGCCCAAGTTAGAGATCTTGCTGGAGTTCGAATAGTCAAGAACAAACAAAAGGCAAAACCTCCCTCAGCAAGGTGGAGGGTATGGTCACCAGCTAGAGAGGCTTGAAAGGGATCACTTATGGTTGAAGGGGAGCCTTGAGGAGTAAGCAGCGGGGTTCTGTCTGCATGCTTTTGAAGAAGGAACACAATTATGAGTGTAAAGGTAACTATGGTAACAACCTGTTGTTGTTAAGTGCCCTTGAGTTGGTTCTGACTCATAGCAACCCTATAAAGGTTTTCCGAGGAGTAGCTGGTAAGCTTGAACTGCCTACCTTGTGGTTCAAACAGAGCTTGCAGTCCATCGCATTAACCCACAATGCCACACGGGGACTCCAACAATGTGTAAGCCCCATCAATAATACCAGAGGGAGCAGGACCAATTAGGAAGCTGATGTAGTCTGGTGGGAAGGTTAACATTGGTCTGGACTGAATTTGGTCAAAGGGAATAGAAAGGATGGGGCCAAGAGCAAGATGCAGATAGAAAGTGCTACAGAGAAATTAAACAAGTGGAGTTCAGAGAAAGGGCTGGTGGTCTTAGTGGAGAGGGGATTATATGCTATATTCCAATCAGCTGGAAAACTGTAGACTAGATTTTGTTGGGAGTCCCTAGATGGTGCAAATGGTTAATGCACTTGACTGCTAACCAAAAGGATGGAAGTTTGAGTTCAATTAAAGGCATCTTGGAAGAAAGACCTGACAATATTTTTCTAAAAAGTAAGCCACTGAAAACATGATGGAGCACAATTCTACTCTGGCACATATGGTGTTGCCATGAGTCAGAACTGAATTGAGAGCAACTGGTACTGGTGGAGTTTGCTGACAGGAGGGTTGTTCTTTTGATCATTAATTCTCTGCCTGGTACCTCGGTCTAGAGCACTAGCAAGTACTGACCAAGCATATTTAGATAAAACATCCAAAGCCAATGTTTGTGTATGTTGTTGTTAGGTGCTGTTGAGTCATTTCTGACTCGTAGTGACCTCATGCATAACAGAACAAAAACACTGCCTGGTTCTGTGCTATCCTCACAATTATTGTTAAGTTTGAGCCCAGTGTTGTTG